TCCGGTCATATTCTATTTAAGGCACCCCAGTATGACCCACTGTTACATATTTCATTATTAGCTACGGCTATGTCTAAATTTAAGTTACAGCTTTCTTCCTTATACTTCCATGACTTATCCGTATTCTCTTTGTTCATACACTCCCTCATTATCCCCAGCAACATCATTCACAAGTGAATGACTTCGGGGGGGGGGGGAATAGTGTAAGGACAGGTCCGAGGTGCCAAGCCTCAGACTGATACAGTAATTCCTTTATGACCGAAGTGAAAGACAAATCCAAAGCCTCCCGCTCAAATAGCTGCATTACAATGACAATAAGCATGCCCGCACCTGATTCCTTATGATGAGCGGCACAGCAAGTATGGTGGACATCCGTGCATCTGAATACCTCTCAAATTCCCGGTCCTGAAATAATTGTCTGGATAGACACGTCAAGCTCCGATTATCTTGATTGGCATGCCACGTGGGTTCCTCATTGGATCCTATAAATACCCCCCGAACCACATCAAAAGGTAATTGAAACCAACCCTAAGCTCTTTTTATCTCCGCCCTAAAGATAATCCCAATTATTGCTGACTTAAACATCGGAGTGTCTACCCCGAGTTCCACCTTGGGACTTTGCAGGTAATCCCAGAGTGCAGACGCGGACTGAAGAAGGACTTTTGGTTTGGTGCAATTACAAAAACTATATCATTTTAAGAAATTTATATTTAGGTTTAATTTAGGAATAATGGCTTGTAAATGTAGTTGTTGGGTTTTTAATCTTTTAACACCTCAAAATATATAAAATATTGATCAAAATAAATATTAAATATATTTTATATATTTTTAAAATAATAAAAAGATATACAAATTAAAACTTAAAGTACTAATAAGTATTCTCAAACAAAACTTACATTATTTCAGTTTTTTTATATAATAATTTATTAAAATAAAAAATTTTAGAATATTTTTCTTTTAATTTTTTAAAGATGTAAGTGATAAATAATTATCCCTATTTTATTGTTTTTTTCTTTTTAGTAATTTTTCTGTTGGGCTTGGGGCAGGAAAGTCAACTTGCTATCCTCGTCTTCGAAATCACATTTACTGGCACCCTCCAGCTGCCCTTCTCTAGTCAGCAAGCAGGTTACAGCTTCTTGTTGCGTTTTGCACTTCCGTGAATCCCTTCTCAAAGATCAACCGTTTTCTCGATACAATGAATCCACCGCAACAGCACCTATCGGAAACGGACCTTCCGGTTCCGCCCCTTTCCTCGCTCCGAATCCAACCGTCTTCGCCACGTGTTCCGATGACCAGCACCCCTACCTCTGGAGCCCAGCGTCGCATCGCCATCGCCGTTGATCTCAGCGACGAGAGCGCCTATGCCGTCCGTTGGGCCGTGCAGAATTACCTCCGTCCAGGAGATGCCGTCATCCTCCTCCACGTTCGTCCGACCTCTGTTCTCTACGGTGCCGACTGGGGGTCCATCAAGCCTCAGATCACCCCTAACTTGGGAAATAATTATGACAATGCCAGTCCTCAGTACTCTGATGAAGAGTCGCAGCAGAAGCTCGAAAATGATTTTGATGTTTTCACCACAACGAAAGCAAACACGATTGCGCAGCCGTTAGTTGACGCGCAGATTCCGTTTAAAATCCACATAGTGAAGGATCATGACATGAAGGAGAGACTGTGTCTGGAGGTTGAGAGGTTGGGGTTGAGTGCGGTGATAATGGGAAGCAGGGGGTTTGGAGCATCGAGGAGGAGTAACAAAGGGAGGCTGGGGAGTGTTAGTGACTATTGTGTCCATCATTGCATCTGTCCAGTGGTGGTGGTGCGATATCCAGATGATGATGATGACCAAAAAGTTGGAGTGGAGAGGGCAGTAAAGAAGAAGTTGATTGCTGACGAGCCAGAGCTCCAGCCCGTGCCAGAGGAGGAACAGGAGTACCATGATGCTGAGGAGGAACACAAAGGTTTGCTTAACTGCTATACTGTTTAATCTGTAAATTCTGTGCTATTTTTTATTCAATTTCATTTTAGGTGACTTGCAAGCCATGTTTATTGCTTTATTTGTGAAATGCCGATATCTTATTTCTTGGATGATGTTCTAATTGAGTATTTTTTGATGTTTTGATTCTGTTGTGAAAAATAACTTTTTATTGCAAAACTGCTGCTTGAGAAATTGATATATATATTTTGGTTTGATTTAGTTTCTATCATTGTTAACTCTTTTTTTGTTGTTGCTAATCTCATATTTCATTTTTGGAAATAATCATTGAGATCTTGGTTGAACCTCTTGTTTTGGTTTAATGTTTTCTCATGTTCCTAGTCTTCTTAGGAGCATTTATCCTTTCTTCAACAGAAGAATCAAAACTCTTGTAGAACAATTCTTCTTTAAAAGTAATAAATCTTCAATTTACGTGTCAAATTTTTAATTTCTACAGTCTTTAAGCATGGTACAAATGACTTTTAGCATTTAGTAAATAATAACTTAATTTCAAGAACAGAAGAGTGAAGTGTAGTCTGCCCCACATGGACTGCATTTCACTTAGCCCTTAGCCATTGATGGAGGGGGCGGGCCCTTTGATTTTGGGGGCTCCATCAATGGTTAAAAGTGGCGCAGTCCACACAGGGTGGACTGCACTACAGCATTTCTTTCAAGAATTTTGTGCTTATTTATATATTAATTAGTTAAATGCCATACTGAAAGGATGCTGTTGTTTATTTTCTTGAATTTTTTGATTTCTTGCAATAATGGTTTTATCATTTATCTTATTGCTGTGCTTGTCATTCATTTCCATCCTAAGTTCTTTTTGGAATATGATGCATGTAATGCATTTTTCTTGTGTTGGAGATTTAGGCTACACATTCATTTACTCTTTCAATTTGCTTCTAGCTTGTTGTTAGGCTAGGTTTCATGCTCTTCAGACTTTCAATTCAGCTTCATGTGAAGTAGCTGCTTTAATTAGGTTTACTTAATTTTTTGGAAGCTGTTTCCAGTAGAACAACAATGAGGATTGCTATCATCGAATTTATATGATGCTTTGTATTGTTTGGAAAGATATGGTTTTGCATGTTAAGCTGCTTGATAAAACTGGACAGTTAAACTAAAATATGGATGCAGTCATGAGAAGTAACAAATAACCACATTTAAAGTTTTCCAAGTTGGTTAGTCAATGGTTAGAAGAGTTTAGTTAGATGACAGCACTAGTAATGAGGCTATTCAATACTCAAAAGGGACCTTGTAATAGAAGGCAAGAAAGAGTAGGTATGTATTTGAGAATAAACAAGAAAGGCCTTAATCTTACAATTTTTTGCAGTCCTTTGTGTGAAGGATGTAGCTTTGAAATGGTTTCAGGGCTAAATTTGTGCCATCTCTCTTCTCACTTTCAGTCTATGGCATTTTACTTGTCCTAGTGTGGATCAGAGATCAGTTATGTTTTGCACTTGGATTTTCTTCCATGTTTCATCTTACTCTCTTAGAGGTTGGTAATGTGATTTTTGATTGATATATTATGTCATGCCAACCTAATAAATTCTAGTTCCAGATCAATTGCATTCAATTCTGTGTTGCCATGGTTTATATGCTTCATTTATTCGTTTGTTCATTTGGCATGTGTGTGTTGTCTGATATAATTGTTTGTTCATTTGTCATTTGTTCTTTTATTTGTTCCAATAATCTGGTGGCATTGAATGTTAATGCTGAGATCTTGCCCAAGCAATATATTCTTTAATTGTTTCTCAAAGCTCCAGTGGAGAGAACAAAGGCCTAGAAAACTGGAGAATTATGGTATAAAAATGAAAAGGGATAGTATTTGGAAGAGACTTCTAATATTCCTTGAGTTCTGACCAAAGCGTAATAACCTTCTAGTTTCAAATAATAGGAATTATTGAATTGTCTCTAACTCCACATATTTCTTGTCAGCAGATGCTTACTGAGTTTTCAAAGTGATGGCATAAGCCTATCAATTCGGGTAAGGTAACTTAAAACCAGAGTATTTTTTTGGTCATTAATTTTCTAAATGCGTGTATGCAGTATGCTTTTCCTCTTTTAACTCTTTTCTTTTTGGATTTTCTTTATTTCTTTTTCTATTTGGGGTTGGAGGCTAGGTATGGTGGGTAGTTGGGATTGTAGATACTAGAGGACCCTTTCTCCATTTCTTTCTTTTAACCTTGTACGGAGGTTCTGGTTGTAAAACCTGGTGGTCTTATTTCCAATTTCATTTTACTACGTTATTCATCCATCGATATTCCTGTAAACTAATTCCTTTGCAAACTCAATACAGACCTTTATTGTGATTTACTGGACAAGATATTGATCATATGGACTCATATAATGTTGCAGAAAATGATCAAAGGCAACAGAAAACATCAAAGGCTGTTATGGGAGCTAAGAAGTTTGAAAACCTTGTTTGGTGATGGAATTTTATGCTTTTGTATAGATGAATATGACTTTGTTTTTCTGATAATTGTCCATTTTCAAGTATGACATGGTATTACTGAATTTCTTTGGAATGTTTAGAAGCTTTCTGCACAGTATGCAGTATGACTGCTCGTCTATTTCTGGCTTATGCCTCCAAAGGTAGATTTTATAGCTCTTTAAAATTTCCGTTCATTCATAGGATTGCTCCTAGGTTTTGCCCTAATTTGTGAGTGCATGGTTACACCAAGATTGTTTCAGTGTTGTGTGAATGGTTAGGGAAGACAGAAAGAAACCAGGGCAAAGGAATGAGGGATGTCTTTCTTGAAACTCTTCTCATAGCAGAAGCCATAACTATAGTTAAATGTTATTTTGGTAGGAAACAGAAAATTTGTTAATGATGGAATGATATGAAGAACAATTAACCGATTTGGTGAAGCAACAATCGACTTATAGTTGCATTTTCCCTCTTGGTTTGGTTTTCCCTGCTTCTTGTTACGTGTTTTGGAAACCATATAGATTTGCAATTTTGGCTTTTCTAGAAACCCTGTCTCTTTCCTTTCCTTCTTTTCCCTCGATTACCTCAATCCAAACAAAGAGTGATATCACACACCTGATCTTATAAGTCGATTGGTAATGGTGTATATCACTTAACTCTATGGGTTGGGTTTAATCCCCTCTTTTCCAAAATTTGCCCTTGATCAAAAAAAAAAAAACAAAGGGTGATATCAATTGTAATTTTGAATGCTGGACTTCAGAAGAAGAAATATCCACTGAATGTGTTTAAACAATTGCGTGAAAATTTAAGGTTTTGTTTAGTGAAATGGTTTTAAATTTTTAGTTTTAGTTTTTAAAAGTTTAAAAACTTTAAATTACAATTAAGTAATTTTATAAATTAATTAAATTTGAAATTTCAAGTATTTGTTTTAAAATTTTATTTCTAATGAGTTGGCAATTTTATTTTTTAACTTTATTTTTTAATTATTAATTTTAATTATTTAAATTTTAAAAATTAAGATTAAATACTACAGATTATAACGATATTAAATGGAGTTTAAACTTTTGAGACAGTGGAAAAAAATTTAGAAGGAACAATTCTTAATAATAAAATAAGATGAATAGCTCACCAACTGATGAGTATTGAGTCTATTGAGTAACACAGAATATGCTACGGTAATGGCATACTCGAAACAAAACTTGCAGAAGTCGCAGGTAGCCATCAAGAAGCTCATGCTGTAAGGTGGAGACCCCATCATAGATGTCAACCATTTACTTTTGAAGATGATGTACAATCTAAACTTGAAAACTCTATAATAAAATAGTGAGGCAAAATTTTAACATGAAATATCCACACAATCAACTGAACAAAATAATGATGTTCAATGTTTGCCATGAATAACAATTTCATGGGAAACAACAAGGACACCCATTTGAATCTATGGTAAGAATGAAATCGAAAACTATGCTGTTCACATCAGGTATCTTGAGTGACAACTTTTTATTGATCAATAGCCACATAACTAGAAAGGACAGCGTTGTAACCACACTGTATAAAGCAAAGAAAGTCATCTCGGAGAGGCCCCAGAGTTTCTTCGCTTTAGGACCTTCGGATCGAAAGTTCTGACTTGAGGTTCAGAAGTTTGCTACCAAAATCAAAATAATGATGCCTATGATTGGCAGCTGCTCTAGCTCCAACAGAAGGTGACATGCAGCCGCGCCTGCCTCTAGATTGGATAGTTGAAACCACAGCTTGTTTCTTAGGACCACGAGTTGATGTAGATGGTTGTCTGTGAGTCCCTACATGGCCACTCTTCTGTGAAACCTTGTGGTCTGATCGAAGGCTACAATCAAACTGAAGGGAACCTCCAATGCCTAGCCTAACTGAACGATCAGCAAAATCCTTCAAAGTGCTGATTTTAATAGGCTGGCGGTTGAAGTAGGACAAATGTGGAAGAAGGCCTCGCACATATTTCTTCAGTTGTTCATCTCCAACATTCTTCTGGGCTGGGTTTCCTTCTAAGCTGATTGCTTGCAACGAGTTATAGTTTGCTGCAAGTTGGCCAAGACAATTGTTTGTAGAGATTTTGTTGAAACGCAGGTCTAGCACAGTCAGTTTTAAGAGACGATGAAGACCCTCCACCTCACAAATTCTGTTTCCGGCCAAGTAGAGCTCTTTCAGGGAGGAACAAGAAGCCAAACCTACATGTAATTATGTGATTATAAGGCAAATTTGAGGTAAATATTCAGAAACAATGACCAAAGCAAGATTCATAATAATAAAAGCAAAGAACTTTGAATTTTTGGACTTCATACCATGACCAATTCTTAATATATGCTTATAGCTCAAATCTAGCACACGAAGCTGTGTAAGTCCACGCAAACCCCCAATGGTTGAGATATTGTTCTTTGACAGATTCAGTATGTGGAGGCCTCGAGGAAGAGCACCAGCAGTTACGCTAGCTGGAAAAAGTGCAAGATAGATAATCAGGGACCAGATCTATAAGGAAAAAAAAAAATTATTCCATAAGTTCAGATTTTGAGAATGCAAAGCAAGTTAACAACATATACATGGGCAGACAATGTTGCCACTGGGAATACAAACCTATTCCATTTCCTGACAGATTAAGCATTCTCTATTTTACAAATGTACTGAGAAATGGCATATAACAAGCAAGCCATTATTCGTGACCAGAGCTGTTGTCGCTGAGGAACTCAAGCAAGTAATATATCTTTTAGCAGCTTCCATAGCAGTTATCTTTGTACCTGCCCTTGTGACAGTCAAACCATTCATGGAAGAGGGTTCTCTGTTAACATCATCATTAGAATGGAACAAGTCATCTGTTTCTTCTACTGAGCTGTAGTGTTGAATATCATTGACCCATTCCTCAATTTGCTTGAACTTAAAATCACTGCTAATTGCTTCATCCCAGCATTTGGTTGATAACTGTTCTTGAAGGTTCTTCACTGACTTTACCTCATCTGTAATCGGCAGTACCCAATCTTTTGTTAAAGCAGAATAACTGTAAGAATGGGAGGCATCATAATTATCAAAGTTATGTGTTTCAATTCTATGCATTATACCATCTCTTTCTTCTTCTGACAGAACCTCCTTGAACCCATGAACCTCTTACTGACGCATTTCAAGAACCTGTAGGTCCTCTGAAGATCTTGAACTAGGAGCTAAATATTTAGGAGAACATCCTGTGAAAGTGGGGCCAGAAGAAAGGATGTTTAGCATGGAACATGATTTTACAATTAAATGTCCAGTAGGTGGTGTGTGGTCACCAGAGTCATTGGCAAAATCAGCACATAGTGGAGAATCAGAATTTTCATGGGCTTCCTTATCAGAATGATGAGGATCTCCAATCGAGAAAATCAATTCTTCATTGACAATATCAGAACTTACATGAACAGATTCTGAGTCCAGAGAATAATGATGATGACTAGCCAGATGATTCCTGCCATCTAGAGCCACCAATATATTTTGGGAAGAAAATCCATGATCACTCTCATCTTCTCCAGCATTTTTGCTGTGAATGCTACCTGCCTTACACGATCTACCTCCTAGAGACAAACTCTTCTTGAAATGCCTGTCAGGGGGATCCTGACATCAATATCAAGATTACATTCACCCTTCATTCCTTCCAAAGCGGTACTTGTAACAGGTGTTGCACTTGCATTAAGATGAATCAGAGCATCTCGTTTTTCTGGCAAGAATGATAGAACTGCAACCTTAGGTGAACCTTTTTTCACTTTTACTTCAGATGCTTCTTCTGAAGTTTTATGCATTGCCTCAACAGATGTTGGACTGTTTTCTGATAGGTAAAAACAAGTCAAGAAAAGCCAAGAACCTGAACTTGGATTAATATTCCTAAATTTAAGTGTCAGCCTGAAGTTCTGCTTCTTAGCTTTGAATTGTAGTGGTGACTGTGAGCATTGAAGCATGGAAACCTCACCATCGTGGCAGTATTGGCAAGAACTACATCCACATGCAGTCTATGTTTTTCTATAGGCGACCATCTAATCTTACTAATTTAACAGTCAAAAGCCTGACCTAAGGCCTAATATCATAAAAAGAAGCAATACCATAAAGCTTCTGGGGACTCAACAAATAGCAACCTTAGCCATATTCAAGTGACAAACCCTCTGAAACTCGGCACAATCTCCAAATATGAGATGATCTTGTTCTTCTTAAAACACAAAGCAAAATTAGCCCTTTGTTGTCACCCCACCCCCAACGTGTGAGAAAAGCTTGCTTTTGTTGCAGCTGCCAGAGTGAGATAGAATCTTCACCAACTAGAAAACCCCAATTCCTAACATGCATAAAAGATACTCGCCTGACAATAATGAAAATAAAAGATTAAAAAATAAAATGTCATGTGAGTGCATATCTAGATTTTTTAAAGAAAAACATATCCAGATAGATTACTTTAAAGCAGAGTATAAAGAACACTACAATTTCACAAAAACATCAGTGAAAAAGGTACGAAAGAAATTTCAACAATGAACAGCAGAATTGTATATTATTTAATATTTCATTGATTTCAATGCTAAATGACCCTCATTCAATATTCTTCCTATTAAGCCAATAAAAGAATTTAATCCTTCTAATATGTCATACTTTATTGCCAAAAAGTTTGAGGAAATACCAGGAAAATTTAGACTCTCATTAGAAGGGTAACTTCAACTCCATTATCTTATTCAAGAATTCTTTCCTCTACTTCTAACAAGATTCCTACTTTTTCAATACAACATCTTCCTTCCAGATACACACAAGATCAAATGGAATGGCTTATTGAGAAACCCTTACAATCCAAAGAATCAAAAAATCAATGGCTAATTGACCAGAAAGAAAAAAGTCAATGGCTTAAGCCAGATACACACAAGATCAAATGGTAAACCATGTTCACAAAGCAGAGATATCAGCATTGAAATGCAGGACCTTTTACAGGCTTAATTATGTATCTTCAGCTAAATAACATGCCATTAGAACTAAACTCGGGCGTCTACACCATTAAGACATGAAAAACTCGTCCATGGAGTAAAAATAGCTGAGATCTTTGTTTGTTACCGCAGAAACCCGCAACAGAGAGAGAAAAAACTCCATAAGAATGACGGAAATCACATAGTACGCAAGAAAGAAAATTAGTCAAAGAAGCTGAAACGAGGTATACCCAAGAACAAAAAATCACTTAGAAAGGGGGAGAATAGAATTGCATGATCATGAGTTTTGAAGAAACAAAAGAATTAAAAGGAAATGTTGCCTCTTTATGCCCAGATTGTGTTAAGAAATATTAAATGGCAGAAGAATAAAAGAATTATTCTCACTTTTCTTAAGGATTTAAAATCCTCTAAGATACAACAGAACTCAAAACTCTTTCAGAATTAGATGTAGAATTCTGATTTTGTAGGAATTTATAATGCCTGAAAAGTCATTATTTGAAGGGATGTATCCCTCCAAAATACATCATTTTATAGAGTTGCCAATAATCATGTTTGATTTTCAGATATGTCTTTCCAAATTATAATTTAATAAAATAAAACAAAAAATCCGAAAATAATAAGTGCCCAAGTGCCCATCTTTTGATTATATATAAAGGGTCAAGGTCTAATTTCCCTTAGATTTCACTTAATTATTTGTTGATAAAGAATAGGCATTTATAAACTCCTTTAAATTCTCATAGTTTCTTGATGTGGGATCTCAAACATTTACAAACTATTCAACATTCCCCCACTAGTTTGGAAATGTTAATTCAGTTCTACTTGACAAGTGACATGCTTAAAGAAGGTATCTCTCGATTTAAACCTTCCATTAGTGTACATACTTCATATCTAATGAAGTTATTGGTGTCCAAGGATTAAACCATAACTACTTATATTAGACATAAGTGTATGACACACATAAGACTTGTCTACCTAATCCAAGAGGTTTAAAACTTTTTAGCACTATTATGGCCATGTGCTTATCCTGTTAATAATGATCATTTACAACAGAATCCAACATCTTCTTGTTGAAGCGGCACCACTTCTATGACCATTTAGGTGTAGTTCTTTATGTCCCTATTGCTACAGACACTTAGAAATGATCAACTCCATTAAGAGTTTACACTCATCCTCCAAAACGCAACAGACAGCACTTAACTAAAGTAGGAATAGGTTTCAAGTGCTAAACAAGCATATATATAGTAACTTGTTCTTACCCATTAAACTTTAAATTTAGAAATGACTAAATAAAAGTTGGGTTTCCATTACCAATGCCTAATTTAAATATTTAAGCCCCATTCCTAATGGCATCCTTTCCACCATATCTCGTGGTAATGCTTTTGTGAGAGCATCAGCTAGATTGTTTGCAAACCTTACATAGATTATTGTTATAACTCCACTAGTAATCAACTCTCGAATATAAATATGTCTAAGACTAATATGTTTAGATTTCCTATTATAAATATTGCTAGATGCTCTAGACATTGTAGCCTCACTATCACAGTGCAAGGAAATGGCTAGCATAGGTTATGGCCACAACTTTATATCAAGCAATAAATTTCTCAACCATTTTGCTTCCTTACCTGTTGCTGCTAAAGCAATAAACTCAAATTCCATTGTAGAATGTGAGATGCATGTTTGTTTCTTTGATGCCCAACTTATGCACCTCTTCCAAGTTTAAAGATCCAAACCGAAGTAGATTTGTTATCACTCTTACTAGTATTCCAACTTGCATCAGTGTATCCTTCTAAGATCACTGGATAATCTGATTAAATCAAACCAAGCTCTTTTTGTCTTTTTAAGATAACCAAGAATTCTTCTAATAGCTTTCCAATGTTCATGGCTTGGTTTACTTGTGTATTTTGATAATTTGCATATTGCAAAGGCTATATTGGCCTAGTACAATGCATGGCATACATTAAACTCCCTATTGCACTTGCATATTCCAATTGAGCAACAATATGACCTAGGTTTAAGGTCAACTTCATACTAGGATCATATAGAGTAAAGGCTTCCTTTATATTAAGATGTTGGAATTTATTCAACATTTTCTCTATATAATGTGATTGATTAAGTACAAAGCCATGATCATGTCTCTTTACTTTAATACCCAAAATAGTATCTACTTCATTTAAATCTTTCATTTTGAAGATTGAAGTTAGATACTTTTTGGTTTCATTTATTCCCAACGTGTTGGTACCAAACATCAATATGTCATCAACATAGAGACATACTATAACTCCATAATCCTTAGTGAATTTTGAATAGATACACTTATTTGCATCATTATGCTTGAATTCATTTGCTAGAATATGTGAATCAAATTTCTAGTGCCATTGCTTGGGAGCTTGCTTTAGGCCATATAGTGGCTTAACTAATTTACAAACTTTTCTTTCATTTCCAAGAAGTATGAAGCCTTTTGGTTGTTCCATATATACTTCCTCACTTAAATCACCATTCAAGAATGCTTTTTAACATCCATTTGATGCACAAACATCTTATAAATTGAAGCCGATGCAAAGAGAACTCTTATAGATGTTATTCTTGCAACAAGAGCATGTGTCAAAATAATTTATTCCTTCCTTTTGAGCAAAACCTTTTGCAACCAACCTTGCTTTGAAGGTTTGTATTGTTCCATCTGTATTGTATTTTCGTCTAAATACCCATTTACAACCAATTGGTTTAGAGCCATACGGAAGATCCACTAAAATCCAAGTATTATTGGACATGATAGAGTCCATTTCATCATTCACAACTTCTCTCCAAAAAGTTGCATCCCTTGAAGCAACTACTTCTTGAAATGTTTTTGGATCTTCTTCAACATTTAATACCATGGGTATTTTTTGAATTATTTTAGTTCTGGTTACTTCAACTAGGAAGACAATAGATTGAGAAGAAATAAAATCAAGATCAAGAAACTTTTCTCTCCTAATCCTTGTACTTCTTCTTGGTTCAATTGAGCCATCATTCTCTTTTCTTTTCTCCTCATGAAGTATACTTGTACTTGTACCATTATGATTTTCATGCATTGAATTATTCAAAGAATTTCCAGAATCAAACATAGTAAAAGAATCTTTAATAAACTTGTTTTCAAAGAACTCAACATGTACAGATTCTACTAAAATATTTGACTATAAATCTAGTAACCTATAGGCCTTAGAATTAATTGCATAACCAACAAATGCACTTCTAATGCCTCTAGGTCCTAATTTTGTTCTTTTTGGGTCTGGAACCTTATAAAAGGCATGACACCTCCACACTTTGAGATAATTCAGATTTGGTTTTTTACCATTATTTCAAGTCTCATATGGAGAAACATGAGTTTTCTTTGATGGAATTTTGTTGGTAACATGATTGGCAGTAAGAAGTGCTCTCCCCAAAGATTAAATGGCAACTTCGAATTTATTAACATGCAATTAACCATGTCAACCAAAGTTCTATTTTTTCTTTTTGCCAAACCATTATGTTGGGGTGAATAGGGGGCTGTTCTTTGATGTATGATGCCATGTTCTTCACAAAATTGTGAAAACATATCTGAAAAATACTCACTACCCCTATCATTACGAAGAGCTTTAATTCTCTTCTCTTTCGGATTTTCCACAACATATTTATACTCTTTAAACTTGTCAAAAGCCTCATCTTTTGTTCTCATAAGATACACATATGTATATCTAGAGAAATCATCAATAAATGTTATGAAGTATCTTTTACCTCCTCTAGTAAGATGACCATTTAATTCACAAATTCAGAATGCACTAACTCTAACATTTATATATTTCCTTCTCTTTTTGGAAAAAGGTTTTCTAATCATCTTTCCTTGCACACAAATTTCACATTTATTTTTAAAATCATTTTGACAAGTTAAATATCCATGCTTAGACATATATTTTAATGATTCATAATTCACATGTCCTAGTCTAGCATACCATAAAGTAGAAGAACACTCAACAATATAAGCAGAAACATTATTTATTTCATTAATACACAATTTGAATATTCCATCACAAGAATAACCTTTCCCCACAAAGTTGCCATTTTTTGATATAATGGCCTTGTCTGATTCTAAGACAACCCTCAAGCCCTTTTTACATAATAGATTTACAGACACCAAGTTCTTTCTAATATCAGGCACATGGAAAAAATTAACCAAGGTCAATTTGTGGCCCGAATTGAACTTTAATTCCCTTGTGCCTTTGCCTAGAACTTTTGCAATGACATTGTTTCCCATAAGCACTTCCTCTGGTTCCTTCAAATCTTCACAAAACTTGAATTGTGCTTTGTTATTGCAGACATGAATTGTTGCACTAGAATCCAGCCACCAATCCATAAGCTTGGTTAGATTCGCCATGTTCAATTCAGTCACCATCCCGACTTGCATATCAGAAACCATAGCAACCAATTCATGCTTAATCAAATTTACTTTGTTGCTTGTTTCTGCATTGGTGCCAGAACCAAAGTTCCTTGCATTAGTCCTGAATTTGTAATCTTTAATGAAGTGACCTTTCTTACCACAATGGTAACAAGGTTGACTTTTCTTGAAAGAAGCTTTCTTGAAAGCACTGTTTTTCTTAAGAAGCTTGAGTTTATTCTGGAAAGGCTTGGCAGAATTTTAACTCACATAATTAACTTTCAAGTGTGCCAATATTGCATCTCTTGAACGATTTTCTACCTCAATCTAGAGATGTGTTTGAAACTGTTCCTTAGTTAGAATTTCATCTAAATGCAAAACCTTTTTCTTGTAATCATTCCAAGATGGAGGAAGTTTTGAAAGTATTGCCCTCACTTGAAGTGAATCTGGAATCTTTGTCTCCAACTCTGACATTCTTGATACCAGAATTTGTAATTCATGTACTTGATCCATGATGGAAATATCATCTTTCATTTCAAACTCAAAATATTTAAGTGCAAGAAACTTGTCCATACCTTTCTTTTCATGCTTATATTTCTTTTCCAGAGCAATCCAGATTTCTTAAGGAGAAGACATGTTGCGATACAAATCATAAAGTCTATCAGTGAGATAATTCAGAATGTGTCCTCGACATATGAGTTCATCTTCTTCACACTTCAGTCTTGCATTCTTCACTCCTTTAGAATCGTTTTCCTTCGGTGCTTGGATAGGTTGCAGTTTTGGATCAAGAACATATGACACCTTCAGTGTTGTTAGTAGGAAAGTCATCTTATCCTTCCAACGCATGTAGTTGGTGCCATCGAACCTATCCAATCTGATTGCATCTAGATACAGCAACTTGATGTTGGAGTTTATAGGAAGAGCCATAAGGAATTTTAAATCCTTAAGATTGTTAAGAAATATTAAATAGTAGAAGAATAAAAGAATTGTTCTGAGGCGTGATTTCACTTTCCTTAAGGATTTAAAATCCTTCCAGAATACAACAGAACTCAAAACTCTCTCAGAATTAGATGTAGAACTCTGATTTTGCATAGAAATTTATAATGTCTGAAAAGTCACTATTTGAAGGAATGTATCCCTCCAAAAGATATCATTTCATAAAGGTACTTTTTGACTACCAATAGTCATATCTAATTTTCAGATATATCTTTTCAAATTATAATTTAATAAAATAAAAAATAAATCCAAAAATAATAAGTGCTCAAGTGTTCATCTTTTGATTATATATAAAGGATCTAGATCCAATTTCTCTTATGTTTTACTTTACTTAATTATTTATTAATAAAAAATAGGCATTTATAAACTCTTTTAAATTTTCATACTTTATTGATGTGAGATCTCAAACATTTACAAAGTATTCAACAGATTGCTATATGGACGTGCTCTACAAGAAGAGGCTGTTACAATGAGGAAGGATAGACGAAAAATCCGGTAATAAAAAATAAGCATTTATAAACTCTTTTAAATTTTCATACTTTATTGATGTGAGATCTCAAACATTTACAAAGTATTCAACAGATTGCTATATGGACATGCTCTACAAGAAGAGGCTGTTACAATGAGGAAGGATAGACGAAAACCCGGACACCGTTTTGTAACATATTTGTATTTATGCCCGTACGTAATTCATTCGACTGAACGGCGTGGGCTGCTTAAGCTCAAACAATAACCAGCTTCGGATGTGATTTTAAGCCTAAATCAACGGTCCTGAAATTTTTGTTGTTTTCTTGTTTTCAAGAAAAAGTTTTTTTTTTAATTTTTATTTTACTGTTTTGAAGTGTATTAAATTGTAAAAAAATTATTTAATTTATTTTATCATAGTCTAAATAAAAGCCAACAGAAAAGTGTGTTGCGGCATGAGGGGTCCTAACAATGGCAATTGTTATGGCCACGGCAACTTTTCTTAAGGTCATCAAATATTATAAAATTTTTAATTTAATTTAATTATTAAAAATAATTAATAATTAATAAAATCGTTAATATTTATTATTTAATAAATTAAAATTAATTTATAAATAAATATTTTTAAATATTATAATTAATTTTTAAATATTATAATTAATTATTAAAAAAATTATAAATTAATAAAATTAGATTAAAATTAATGGTTTTAACAAAAGTTATAGTAGCAATAGTCTTATCCTTTTGTCTATAAGTCTATCCAATAACTTTGAAGGTGCATTTTTACAAGTCTGATAATGGTTCAAATCCCCCATCCCCTAAAATTTTTCTATAACAATAATAATAATAATAAGACTCCCAAACATTGGATCCAAAAGCCAATAACTATAACTAATAATACAAAAAATTTGTAACAATTATTTCAAACTACAAAATATTAATTATTGAATTTGGAGTCACTCACAATAAGAGAATATCTTTCTAGCTAATAATTAATATTTTCTATATTAATTTAATCTTAAAACGTAATTCTCACAATAATACATAGGTTAAAACCCCATTTGATCCCTCTACTTTAATAAAATCTCTTTTTTAGTCCTCTATTTAAGAAAGCCCTTTTTGAGTCCCTAAAGTTTATTATCCGATCCTTTTTAGTTGCTCTATTATCTTTTTGCACATGTAATACATTAAACAACAAAAATTCCAAAGTAAAAGAATTGAATAAGATTTTTTTTTATATAGTAGAGGGACCAAAAAAGAGATTTTTTAATCCATTTTTAATCTTTCTTGGTTTGAAATTTCTATACACTATCTAACATACCATGTGTAAAAAAATTAACAAAAGAATTAAAAAAGGACCAAATAATAAATTTTAGGGATTAAAATGGGACTTTTATTAAATAGAGAGATTAAAAATAAACTATTTGTTAAAATAGAGGGACTAAAATAAAATTTTAACCTAATATATAATCTCTGGTTAATATTGGAAATCGAATTTCTTGGAAATAAAAAAGAAATTTTGTTGTAATTTGTTCTCCAACTAGTTTGGGATTGAGAAGGTGAAACCACATGATATCTTTAAATAATGATAAATGAAATCAAAATCTAAAACTAATAACATAATATAAGTCACATCAATGAAAATATTAAAAAATAAATTTTATATTATTTAATGATTAACTCTCTTTGTTTTTTTAGAATATGTGATATTGAATGTAACAACTAATCTAATTATATAACTTACGTCATATCATTGGTATCAAATTTTCGTTGTCATTATCATTATTCAATATCTTTAGGAATTGTGACTTATGAAAGATAATTAAAACTAATTTTAAAAATGAATAAAATTTATTAGTAGAAACTCAATTTAAAATTTTAAAATTTTACAACTTCAATTTTTAGATATAAAAATTGCAATTTCTAAAAAGTGAAAAGTATTTTTTCTTGTATTTTTTTCTAGTATGACATTTATATGGATAATAATTGAAAATATTTTTTATAGGAAAGGGCATGCATGGTGGAGTTTATAAGCAAATTCTTTTATGATAAATTTAAAAATAAAATAAATTAAGAAGAAAATTTGAATTTATTATTATTATTATTATTATTTATAAAACGTGTCAACTGATTAAAACATTTGCGGGGAAGAGGGACAGAAAGCGAAAATGAGGAAGAACCTTTTTGTCAATAGTTTAATTAAGTTATCTTAGAGACCTTCCTCATTTAAATTTAATTATTAAGTGACTAAGTTTTTCAAAAAGCTGGTGGCACGACCTTGGACTCCAAAAGGAGGAGTACGGTAGAGGCAGAATGAGGAAAGGAGGAAGGGAAAGACTTAGGGTGGAAACTAGAAAGGTTGTAGAAGAAGGGTTGAGGACTCCAGTTATTGCCACAAATGCTTTTGTTAATGCTAAACAAAACCTAAGCCTTTTTAACATTTTTTAATAAGAAATAAAATTTCATCGATGTAAGAAAGTCATTAGAGTTACAAAACTAACTCAAAATGAGGTAAGTATTACACTCATAAAATGTATGAAAAACATAAAATCAAATAATTCAATACCTATGAGAGCATTGCAACTAGACCTAAACTCAAGATTTAGCAGTTAAACTGTATTTTAATATAATCTATCTAAATAAAAGATAACTTAGTTCTTAGAGTAGAAAACTTTAGTTAAGACTCCATCTTCAACCATACCTTTAACCAATATTTTAAAAACTAAACTAAACAAATTAGTGAACCAATCAAACCAACATTCAGTGATAAAAATGGATCAGATGAGTATTTAGAATCGTTTAGGGGATTAAATTGCTTAAAACCACTAAAATTATTGTTGGTGTGCCAAAATGAATGAAGTTGCCATCTATCCAAATGAAGTGGAATAGATCACCAAAATCTACACAAAAATTGACTAAAATCGGAGGATCAATGAAGCATGGGGAAGGTATTAAACACCCCATAGCTTCCATATAAATATGATTACTACGAACTTTAATTTTGGGGTATTTTCAATTTGTAATAAAATGATACAAAATAGATTCAATCAATTTAAACAAAGGAAAAGGAAAAGAAAAATTACATGACTTCTTCACACTCCAACTATGTCAATTTCATTTTAAATATATCATAGTGTCTTCTTTTAAGTTACTATGCCTTCTATAATAAATTTCACTTTTAAAATAAAATTGAAGTTTCCAACATATGCTTTAATTTAGTACCAAGGACTAAAATACAAAACTATATTCCTATTTCTAAAAAAACACAGAGCTTTATTGTTTAAATGAAAGTGCAAGTTTTATTTAATTTCATTATTAATCTTACTAGACTTTCAAAATAAGCAAATTCATATATAATAAACGTGGTGAACAACAACTATTTCATCATAACAACTTCAACTCCATCAAATAGCTAACATCTATTCAAATTATTATAATGTCTCTAAATCCAATACTCCTATCATTTTTTTTTTTTTTGACAGGGATAATGGTTAGAAGTTAGAAGTTAATTAGGTTAATACCTTACTCTTGGCAAGGTTCGACCACTAGTCAAGGGTACAATCCACCGGCAGCCCTGTTGGACTGCAATGGCCACCAATAGGCCACAACAGGGGAATGCTATACTCCTATCATTTAAAACAATATCATCATGATGTTTAATAAGTCTTTCAAATTTAAATTTAAATCCAAAGCAGTTACAAAATCTTATACCCCAAATACATAATTAAATTATACAAGTTAACTCCATAGAAAAACAATATATCAAATATAATATTTTTTGTAGCAAGTCTTTACCACATTCAATTTATAGAACAAATAAAAGAAAAAAAAAACACTTTGGCTTATATAGGACTATCCACCCTAATGCTCACACATATACAAAATAAAAAAAAAAAAAATTAACAATTGAAAGCTTGCACACTTGTAAGGAAGTTGAAAATTCAAAGCTTCATTGTTTTGAAAAAAATTTCAAATACAAGCTTCTACCTTCCTTTCCTCTCTATCTCACACTCTCTCTGATGACTCTCAATTTTTTGCTTCCCCAAATTCTTCCTGAATTTCTTCTCCAGTTTCTCTTTGCCCCAAGACCCATTTTTATACACAAAGGATGTAGAACTGAGACCCTTCATGCTAATTTGAAACCAAATCCCAAATCCCTAAATTACAGATAATAATCTAATTCTACTCAAAATTGAAATTGTAAAATCTTTGTTCTTCATGCATCCTCCTTCTTTAAAGACCAAATTCATACCTTGTGGCAATTGAAGGCCCAAGTTTGAATCAAATTTGAAATCTTCCTCCTTATAATTTGCGGTTCTTGATGATGACTTCAAATTAAAAAATTTTCTCATATTGATACCGTGATCTATCCAAATTTGAGTAGATTTAAGGCTAAGCCAAGAAGAATTTGTAAATTTTTGGAGAGTGGTTGTTGGTGAAGCAAAAGAAAGCAAAAGGGATCATGAGTTTTGAAGGCCAGGGTTCGACTAAACCCTAGCCTTTATTTTTAACTTAGCCCACAAGCAAAATGACGCCATTTGCTCAATTCTTCCTCTCGACTATTCAAGTTTCATACTTTTACAGAATGGTCTATTGGCTTCCAATATTAGTGTTCAACCCTAGTTAAAATTGGGTTATGACAATTATTTAAATCAATAAAAGGAAGTAAACCATCCAACTGGACAAGTCAACTTTTTGGACAAAATTTGCAAAGTTGGTACTAGTGGGTTTCAAATGCCACCTCTCAAGTGACATTAAGAATTCACTTACCACTGCAACCAAACTCCTTGTTAAATAAGTTGCAAAGAATGTACTTTAAATAATATTACAAAGACTTTAAAGGAAAAATTCGAGTGACTTCCATGAGATTTGAATAGTTACTTTCTTGCTTGGTAAAAATTAGTTCTACCACCTAATTTGAACCATGTTTTCTAACATGTAACTGAATAAACTTGATCCATTTGAGACTCGAATTTAGGCTCTTTTTAAGATGCATAAAAGCCACTAACCACTAGAGCCACTTTTGCAAATCAATAGCATTATGTTTTTTTATTATATATCTTTTAAATTCAATCAACTTGGTTTTTTGATTGGTCAAACTAGTTTAACCACCCAAATTATAAATGGTTTGACCTTCAGTTTGGTTTTAGAAACATTGCCTTCAACCGCCAAAGTAAGCACAATAACTAATCTAAGTTTCCATAATTCTCTAACAAGAGCAAATCTCTATCAAAAATATTGAGAAAGTGAAGGTTGGAACCCTCAAAAAAAGAGGGAGGAACCTCTACAAGAGAAGAGAGAACTTATATCTTTAACCATCTATGCTAACTCCCAAGAGGGAGAGGCACAACGACTACAATTAAAAAGGAAATAGGAGAAAAATGAAAAAAAAAAAAAAAAAGGGAGAGGTTTAGGGCAAGAGAAGGAAGGGGGTGGCTGGGGTTTGTTACTAAGCCTTTTAATTTAATTGACTGTTTTGCCCTGTTTTTTCATTTTACTTTCTTTTCTTTTCAGTTGGATTTTCATTTTTTTATGCCCTGTCCCATAGAGCCTTGTAAAAAGTTCGTATAATTTATGTCCTTTTTTTCAACTTATTTCGTTAATTTCATTTCACAAAACAGAATCTTGGGGGAGAAATTGGAACAAATAAATTGGGGGTAAAAAAAAAAAGAAGAAGAGGAATCAAAGTGAGACAAAAGAGTACCCAAGGAAATAAACGAATGGAACTGAAGGAGTATAAGCAGATTGCGCGAAAAAGAACAGAATCGAATCAGCCATTGTGGTTTGTATAGAGTATACCTGCTTTTGAATATTAGAATTCTATGATGAAAATTTAGGATTTTGTAGAAAAAGAGGGCAAAATAGTTGATTAAATTTAAAGGCTTTGTTTTCCTGTGGCATTAACAGAAGTATGTGTGGCAATGACCAGAGGTAACTTTCAAGGGGTAACATGCAAAAAGTAAGGTAATGGCTGATAGGTGGTACTTGGGTGCTTATGTGGAAGTGACTGTAAAATGGACAATTTTCACCTTAATAAAATAATAAAAAAATATATAAATTAAATAAAAAATTACTTTATTTATTTATTATTAATTGCTTTTAAATTAAATATAAACCTTTTATGTTAAACATCACACATGCTTAACTTTCAAAGCGATGTGGGACTAGCATATGTTAAGTAGGTTGTTTTATTAGTTTGGTTTCAGGGGTATTTAGATGTTAGTTGTGAAATTAGTATTCATCTCTGTCAGTGGAGAATAATAACAATAATAACAACACTAATGGAGATTTTTTAGGGTATAAGTTAAATCTCATTACATATAGTATTTGTAATTAATTTTGTATATAATTAATTTTGTATAAATTTTTTGTTGGATTCAATTAAAATAAAAAATAAAATGTAGAATTAAAATAAAATATAATATTTAAATTCAAAATCTATAAAAAAAATATGAATTTGGTATAAAAATTTGTACAAAACTAATTATAAATATTATAAGTAATGAGGTTTAGGGTACAAATTAGCAAACTCATAATAATAATAATAATAATAATAATAAAGAAGATTGATTAGACTTTTAAAAAAAATTTCAATCAATACTAAATGAGTTTTAATAATTATTTAATACTCAATAAATTTTTTCAAAAATATATATCTAAGAGAAATTTATATCTAACATATATAATATTACAATCCAAATTTAATAAAATTTAATTTTTATTAATTTTCTTCACACTTCTTATTATAAGGTTTGACTTGACCTTTTTTAATATTTTTTTTCAATTTTATAACACTAGGGTTACAATTTATTTTCTATTTATATAAATGGATAAAAAAAAAAAAGAATAGGAGAAGGTGCCCACACCCGCACCATTTTATTTCCTTAATGAACTTTTGCTCTTTCCGTAAAGAGGTAAAATTACAATGTTGGTCCTCAAATTTATAAAATTTTTATTCTTTACTCCTCATATTTCATAATTCTACAATTTGCTCCCTAATCTCATTGTTTTATTCATCCTTTAACTTTGTGAAACATTATGATTCAATTCTAAATTTATGATTTTGAAAAGTTAACTCCTTACACAAATAATAGAAATTATGTAAAATTAAATAAAATAATATTAAATCCATTCAAATATTAATAAAAACAAAGATTAATATCATATTTTCTACAAGAATTCAACCTATTAATTACTATAAGGTTTTTTCTTTTTTTATAAGAAAAGTTGTTGTATTTCACGCATTCCATAGCTTAAAAGTAGAATACTACATATTGCGCACATCATTATTTATTAAAGACAGAAGATATTCAAGCACCTCTCGAAACCAGTATTCATCTTCATCCACCAAGGCTGCTCTCTGTGTTAGTTCATGTGCAACCATTTTCCCCTTTCACTGCACATGTTGCAACTTGTATTTTTCAAACAAGTAAAGCCTTACAATCCATTAAGACTGCAGCCAACTCTGCGTTAATGGCCTGGCTATTTGCTAAGGCCCCAACGACATCATTTGCACAATCACTGTCATGCCCAAAAACCAGGAGCGAAACAGACGCCGTGCACTCATAAATGAGTCCCACAAATGCACAAGACTCGAAACCCACTGTGTTCATAATTACCAATATATATAACTTAAATAAAAAAGTCAGTTAATATCTAGCTTTCCATTACCAAAATTTAATAGTCAAGATGTACAGAAGTTTATAAGACAGTCATGGCTATAACCAAGGGAAACTCAGTATACAAAAAAATGATTAATCATTTTACATCTATGTCAAGCATGTGTGGCTAACGGCTTAAGTCCAAAAAGGATCTAAGTCCAAAATACTGACTAGCCTTCTAGCTCGTCACTCCTCCTAGTTAACCAGGCCTCAGGTTTCACTTCCTGAAATGGTGGACAAGGAAAACTATGAGATAAGATATCTTAGTAAGTAAAAATATGGATAACCCATGAGTAAAATTTAAGCATGCCTGATAAATAATTTAACATAACAAAATGTTCAATGATAAACCGTTAATGCAGAATAAGATTCAGTAATAGTCTCATCTATAAGTCATGGCCAGTGTTTAACAACTCCCACTGGCAGGCATTAGTTTCATTAATAATCAATGTATTATCCCATTGGCAGGATTACAGAATGAACTGGTCCTATCAGTATACATGTCGACATGTGCTAGCGTTTGCAAACTCCCACTAGCGGGCGTCAGTAATCAATAATCATGACTATATTAAAGACAAAACCATGCAGAATTTACAAGAAAAATCCGTAATTCATAATCAATCTCAAATTTCAAGAATAAACCAAAAAATTCCATGTGGGTATGCTCAACCCCAAAAAAAATAAAAATTTTCATTTTCATTCTAATCATGCTCAGGTGTTAATAAAATCAATTTAAACCTTGCTACCATCTCAAAAACAATTTAAAATATACTTTTACTTTGAAATTGAAGAGTGTTACCATAATTTACTTACCTCAGTTGCATAACATAGAAAATTCACTCCAAGTCCTAGGGTGACAGAATAATAAAGAACCTAACCAAAATATTCCAGGATTAATAACCATATTACCACGAATCTAAAAGAAATCACCACCACGACTATCCCCTAATCATGACGCCATTTATATCAACATGGATAACTTACGCATTCCACGAGATTTTATACTCCAAATAATTGAAATTCAGTGTATGAACAGTAACTACGCGTGAACAATAACTGCAACTTTCAGAAATTTGGCAAAGAGCAGAAAATTCTAAGGAAAAACAATGCAGAAAATAGCAAAGAAATGTAGTAAAATGCAGAATTTTCCTGGAGAAAATACAGAATTTTTTCTGGCTTAAAAACAGTGCAGAAACAGCTAGAAAGAGTGCAGGAAAATGCAGAATTTTTCAGGGTTATAACAGTGTAGAAAACAATAAGGAATATGCAGAAAAATGCCGCAACAATTTGCCAAAAAAAAAAAGCAGCAGATACGAAAAACACAGAGCAATTTTGCAGAAAAATGCAGCAACAAAACAACATAATTTCCTGCGTGAACAGTGAAATTTTATGGCAAAAACAGTCGGATTTTCTAGTAAACAGCAGTAAAAATAGCAGTGAATTTGCAGAAAATGTAGAAAAATTCTGCACCACAACAGGTACAATTTCTGGACACAAACAGCAGATAGTTCCAGACAAAAACAGCAGCCGATCAAGATAATTTCTACATGAATCAAGCTGAAAAAAAATGTTCTAATTGCTACCGGAATCCATCCCCTATTTCAGCAAAAATTCAGACAGCACAAGAGCGGCAGTTAATGGATAAATTTAGCAACTAATGGGTAATTTTGGGACTTAGAGGGAGCTGTCACATACCAGAAATTCAGCAAGAAAAATCGGAGCTGGCGGGTTGGGGAAACCGACGGGAAGTGAAGGAGACCTTAGGGGATCTACCGAAAATTGGGAGAAACCAAAAGAAATTAGAGTAAACCCAAGCCAAATCAAGGGAGAAAAGAGGAATTAGTGGCTGTTTCCTTACTAGAAACCTGAAGAATTCACACCCACAAACCAAGAGCAGCGGACGGAGGGGAGGGAACAGAGCAGATCTGAAATTTTCTGCAGGGGGAAAGATTTCTAAGTTCTAAATCTTGTTCTTGAACAAGAAAGAAGGAAAAAAAATCAAGCTTTTACCGTTTCTCAAGAGGGTGGGTGTGTCAATGGCTTGGGCTCCTTGTTCGGCTGCAGGGGAAAAGAAGAAGAGCAGAACACGTGGCTGAGGAAAAAGAGCAGAACGCGTGGCTAAGGAAGAAAGAAAGAAAGAAAAAAAATCAGCCATCCTTATCCTAATTCTTTTCTCTTTTTTAAGTCTCTCAAATTTGAAAATTCTATGATTAAACTCAATAATATTATTTTCTCATAATTAGGTCCCTAACTCATACTTAAATGTTCTAGAAATTTTTGCGTATTACAGTCACACTCCACTTGGAGCCTTCTAAAACCCATTTCAAATGCCTATTGCAGACCTTTCTCCTTAGATTATACGCCTCTACATTTTCCGCCAGCAATAAATTAACCCTCACCCTTACATGTCATAGCTGTCGTCATTTCCTGTTATGATTTCTAACTATTGCACCCATGCCATAAGATCTATTTTGCACAAACAAGGTGCCATCAACATTCAATTTATACAACAAGGAGTCCGATGGCTGCCACTGAATATTGCACCTTAGCATACCAATCCTGCTTCCTTGAGCTAGTTTTCCCATAATAGCCATGTATTCCATTGCATATCTCCTTCCCATTTCGATCACCTAGATAGGTTGCCTTCTAACATTATTCCATGTCACTTCATTCCTATTTGTCCAAAGTGCCCATCAAACCATACAAAAATGCATCAATTGCTCATCATCCAACTATTCTGCCACCATATCATAAAAACCTACAAAACCATCAACCTGTACCTCTGATATTTGCAAATTTAAAGAACATCCAACCCACACTGCTCATGCAAATTTAAGTTTTGCTAATAATTTTATTGAGCTAGCCGTTAATATTGGATTTCTCATATCAAAAAGAGAAAAAAAAAAAGAAAAAAAAAAGAAAAAGAAAAGGGAACTAAGAGGATGATTATGATAATAATAGTTGAAGATAGCTTTTGAAATAGTACAAGGAGTACTACAATCCTCAAGGCATAGAATTAATTGAAAAAGAATTAGAAAATAATATTAAAAGAAGTTACGTCACTTATACTTTGGCCTAAAATATTTATAATATAGACAGTGAGAGATAGAAGGAAATTAAAGTAAAAATAGACATATAATGAAAAACAAAGATACAAAGAATGATTAAAAAAGAATAATATAGAAGGAAAGATTTTACTAATAAAAAATATAAAAGGAAACATAAAGGAAGAAAAAGAATAATAACATATAAATTACTTATATGGAAAGAGAAAGTGAAAGCAAGTATTAAGTAAAAATATATATAATGATAAAATATGAGGAGTAAGCTAGGAGATGAAACCCAAGAAAAGTGATGAAAAGTAGAGTAAGTAAAAATGTATTGAGATAATAATGCTAATTAAGAAGCTACACCTTTTATATTTTGACATAAATATTTCTAATATAGAGAAGGACGAAGATACAAAATAGGGGTAAAAAAAGATATAAATAATGATACATTGAGATGTAGGGGATTGACTAAGAAATAATAAAAATAATAAAATGATGATGGAAGAAAAAAAATAAAATACAAATAAAGAGTGGGAATTACTAATATAGAGGGGAAAAGATGACAAACATATGATATAGAGATAAATATAATGAGACATTATGATGCAAGAATTAAGAGATAGAGTTACAAGAAAACTCTAATGAAAGGTGAAGTAAAACTAAGCAAAAAGGTATAATAATAATAATAATAAGTTGTGTCTTTCACATTTTGACTTTAAAATTTTCTAATACTAACAGCGAGAGAGAGAAAATTGAGTTTGAAACAAAGAGATATAATAATAATAATAATAATAAGTTGTGTCTTTCACATTTTGACTTTAAAATTTTCTAATACTAACAGCGAGAGAGAGAAAATTGAGTTTGAAACAAAGAGATATATAATGATAAATAACAATCCTGTATTGACTAAGGAAGAACAATAGAGAGAAGATTATAACTGGAAGAAAGAATAATAAAAAATAAATCACTAATCTATAGACATAATGAAGGGCAAATGCATGGTAGAAAGATAAATATAAAGATAAAATATTAAGTGAGAAGCTAAGAGATAGAATTATAAACAAAATTAATCATAAGAGAAGTGGAGTAAAGGTAAGTGAGAAAGAATTAGAGAATGATGTTAACAAGTTGTGCCACTTATGTTTTGGCCAAAAACATTTCTAATATAGATAATGGAAGAGAAAGAAATTAGATTAAAACAAAAATATATAACAATAAATGGAGATGCAAAGAGTGACCAAGAAAGAATAATATAAAATGAAATACAAAGGAGATGAAAAGAAGAGTTAGGATCCACTTACACAAAATTATCACGTATCACTTACACAAAATCTCGACTATTTATCTCTCCATTATGCATGATCAGGATTTATTCACTTTTTATCTTATTTTTTAAAGATAATTGTTTTTTTCCATCTAAAAAGTCATAATAAATCTTACACAACTCTATATTTTGACAAGTAGAGTAAAGGCAAATGAAAAAGTACTAAGAGAATAACACTAAGAAATTGCATCTTTTACATTTTGACATAAAACTTTTCTAGCAAAAACATGTTGAAATAAAAAAAAGGGGTCAAAATTATAGAATGATAGATTGAGATACATGGAATGTCTAAGACAGAAGGATAGAGATGATACTATACTAAAAGAAAGGACAATATGTAAGGTAGAGAATTGAATATAATGATATAAAATACGAGTGGAGAAGCTGTGAGATCGAGTCTCAATAAAAATTAGTGAGATGTCGACTAAAGATAAATGAAACTTAAGTACCAAGAATATATAATGCTTATATGTCTAGCCTTTTATATTTTGACTCAAAAACATGTCTAATATATATATATATACACAGCAAAGTGCACACCAGTCCTACGTCCAAAAAAAAAAATTAGAGTCCCAACCAAAACGGTGTCGTTCTCTTAATCCCCAGCCCCTCCTTCCTTTTGCCCCTTCTACAATCATCTCCATCTCCATCAACTCCTCTAATTCCTTCAATTTTTCAAACGCAATCCCACGCCGTCAACTTAATCCCCAACACCTACTATTTTCACTCCATTTTGACATTGCAATTCATCATCTTCGTTGATGATAACCCCTACTTCTTTTCGCCTCTTTTGCAATCATCTCCATCTCCATTGCCTTTCATCTCCATCAACTCCTTCAATTCCTTCAATTTTTCAAACGCAATCCCACACCACCGACTTAACCCCCAGCACCCACTATTCTAACCCTATTCTGCCATTGCAATTCTTCATCTCTGTCGACGGTAATAGAGAAGGGATCAAAGGATGGTAAATGCTTTGTTTTCTTACTAAGCTCTATTTACCAAAAAAGTAAAAAAAATCTCTCTTTTTTTTGTTGGGTCTCTCTTTAAAGTTAGATCCCTCGAATTTTTTAGATACAATCATGTCGTCGATAGTAACAAAGAAGGAATCGAAGGAAATGACCTTCTGAAATTCAATTATTTACCTTCTTTGTTCTCCAGCATCAACAAGGATAGGAAGTTTTTTTTTTTGTTTTCTTACACCAATTTCTTGTTGAATCTGGAAAAGAGAAGGTTTTTTTAGGAATTGTTTGTTTATTCCATTAAATTTGGTAGCCAGAGCCATCTTTTCTTAGCTATCTGATGATAAAAATTCTTAAACTGGTGCCTTGTAAATTATGTAAATTATTTGTTCATGCTATAGAATACTAGCAATTTGAGGACTAGAGCATGCAAGTGACTGTAGTATTAATGGTGTTGTCAAACTGCTTCCTTTAGAATTGCTCTATGCTATTAGAATTTAGTACTATTTTCCTCAGTGCTCCCTAGAGGCTTGACTTTAGAGTTTCCAATTTGGTAGCTTTTATTTGTTCCTTACGTTAAGGTTGCAGATTGGTACCTATGCTATTAGAATTTATTTGTTCCAAAATTTAGGCTTGGCTTTATAGTTTTGATTTGAAGGTTGTATTTGTGTATCTGAGAATCATATCTTTTTGGAACAAGAAAGAATCAATCACTCTTTGGTTTATTAATGCTTTGGTCAAGTGAAATGGAAATGTTTTTGTTTGTTGTGTTGTTTAGACAAGGTTAATGCTTTGGAAAAATTCAAGTAGGCGAAAGAAAGTTCTTTTGTTATGACAGGTCAGATTTTAACAAATTAAATGACATGACAGCAGAGGGCAAATGATGTTACCTTTTGTCTTTACAACTATTAAATAGCCAACTTAGCAGAAATAAGGTCTCAAGAGGTCTCTTTCAATGATGAGGTTGAACAATTAAAGAATGAGGTTGCTGTTGCTTTTAAGAAGAAGATAGTTTCCTTCATTGAGGAGAATGTTGTGAAGAATGAATTGAACAAGGCATATTGCAAAAAGGCCAAAAAACAAGACATTCTGCAGATTTAGCCTTAACTTGTTTGTGGCTTCTTCTTCTTTTTCATGTTTTTTTTGGCTTTATTATGAAAAAATGTGACTTGTAAGCTCATATACAAAATTTTGTACTGTACAATATAAGTTGACTATATGCAATAAAGTGGGTAATTGACCTTTTATGTACAGAATAAATTTCCACTACAATTAACAAAATTTGCACAAATCTTTGTAGAAAATCTAGAATGAAAAACTTCTATAAAGGATTACAAATAATTAAGAGAACTTATATAAGTGCATTACAAATTTCTTTAAACTTTGCAAAGTAAGTTGTAAACTTCACAAAGTAAGCTGCAAACTTCACAAAGTAAGCTCATTGCAAATTTATGTAAACTTCATAAAGTAGGCTCAATTCACATAAAAAAACAAACCTAACACTAAACAAGATAAGCTCCAATTCTTTACAAAATAAGCTCAGTTCATCTAAAAAACAAACATAACACTAAACAACTTAAAATTCATCAAATCAATGGTTACTCTATCATAACAATCACTCCTTTGCATGGGGTAATTGACTTTGACTTGCACTTCCATCTTCTATAACTTGATAAACAAAGCACAAAACCAAGATATTGTTAAGTTACATGCAAATAAGATGTCAAAAAGTGAAAAAAATAATGATTAACTTAATAATTTTACCTTTTCTTTTGTCTTTCCACAAGTCCTAGAATCGTGACCTTTGATACCACACATGCTTCAAGTCCACCTTCTAATATGAGCTGTATTTAGTAACACTTGTTTTCCTATAGGAATCCTAGAAAGTTAGGAATCCTAGAAAGTTCCTTTGGTTTGACCCTTGGTTCTAATCCTTTCCGGATTACAATTACTTGAAATTAAATCTTGAGATATTGCTTGAGCACCAAAATCTTACTCACTTTGTTTAGTAACTAAACTTTCAAGGTCCTTTCTAATACTATATAATTGCCTTTTCAAATCTTCCACCACTGATGCAATGGCATTATGAAGTTTACTATGAATTACTGCTTGGTCATGCACTTTATTAAGAGATTTTCAAAGATTCTAAAAATCAAGTGTAGAAACCACTAAATCTTTTGATGTGCTTATCAATTGAGCCTGTTTACTATTATGTCTATATGCCAAGGTCCATCTAGCCTAAATCTGTCATTCAAGAATCTCTTCCATTTGATAACATTACATCATTATATGCAGAATATGTTTACACAAAATACCACTAGTCTCAAACATCCCACAAGTATAAGCAAATTCCTCCTTAGAGGGATCACGCATAGAGTGTGAATCAACCTTGCCCCCAAACCCATAACTAACATCATATGTGGTCATCCCATCACTAGTAGCTACTTCATCATGCATAGAGTATAAAGAATCTTTGAACTTACTTTGAAATTTAGCAAACATCTTTCTAGTGTAAACCATTCCAGCTTGAACTTCTAACTTATGCAAGTGACATGGATTTGGCTTTGCTCTCATTGTCCACATGTCTTCGTTCACTTCCTCATCATGATGACATTGTAGAGCTTTAGCATATTGGCCAACAAACTCGGACAATGGTGTCATAGAGTTCACATAACAATAAAAAAATGAATTAATGCTCTCACTTTGTTGACTTGATCTCATTCCAACAAAAAATTTGTCCCTCAAATACACATCAATCCAACTATATCTTGCTCATACATGCTTTCTAACCATTTCCAAGACTTTTTTTCCTTGCATTGCTTATCGGTCAATGGCTCCATAAACTCTTCTTTATATTTCTCCTTTAACTTTTTCCATGCACTCTCAGCTGCTTCAATAGTTTTACTTTTTCTCACCCACTTATAATATTGTTCATCAAATCCAAGATTATATAATGATCTTAAAGCCCGAAGATGCTTATCCTCATGAAGTGAGATGTGCCAACTACAAAACCTATGGCGTGTGTTCAGAAAGACCCTTGTAATTGCATTGGTGATTACTAGGTCTTGGTTAGTGATAATTGCACCTGATGCTTTACCCTCCATGCACTGTAGCCACTGCTCAAATAACCACACAAAGGTATCTTCCTATTAGTCCAATAGAAGGGCACATCCAAACAAGGTTGACTGTCCATGATGGTTCACACCAGTATACAAAGCAAATGGTAAAAGAAATGTATTAGTTCGATATGTCACATAAAAAACCACGACTTCACCAAAATTTTGATACATTTCCCTAACTCTCCCATCTGCCCAAAACAAGCTCCTACAAACACCATTTTCGTTGATCTCTATGGCATGGTAAAAATTTTCGATTTAAGTACCATTTTGGTCCCTCAACTTTACACTTTGGTACCAAAATTGTCCCTCACCTTTAAAAAGTACCAAAATTATCCTTAAACTTTCATTTTTGGTACCAAAATGGTCCTTTCGTCAGTTAAATGACAGGTGTCACGTTAACTTGCCAGCAAAATCACTACTTTTTTTGAATTTTAATGATGTGTAAATCCAGCGAACAAAATTTTACTACGGTGGCATGTTTTTTCCACGTCAAATTGATCTCCCTCTTCATATTCAATTTTTGTGGGGCCCACATGAAAAATTGTTTTCCTTTTCCAGTTTCAATTGAGTTCTCGAAGGCCAAACAAAAACAAACAAAGCAAAATTTTCTCAGCAACCAAACAAAAACAAACAAAGCAAAATTTTCTCAACAACCAAACAAAAAAAAATAAACCAAAATTTTCTCAGCAACCAAACAAAGCAAGAAGCTAAAGAAACAAAGCAAAGAAAAACTACCTTTACCATCCCAAACTTCAAAATTGATCAAACCAATCACCAAGAATATGAATTTTGTGGTCAAAGCTATGGAAATGAAGTGAAATTGTGATATTACTGGAAGAAATACTAGGGTTTATTCCGCGAGGAACCTAGAAACTGGGTTCTTCAAGGAACCTCGCGTAACCTAGGTTCTGGGTTCGTCAAGGGTTCATCGCAGAACCCAGAACCTAGGTTCTTCGAGGAACCCAGGAACCCAGAACTGGGTTCCTCACGAAACCCAGGAACCCAAAACTGAGTTCCTCAAAGAACTGGGTTCCTCAAAAATCCTAGCATCGGGTTAGGTTTTGCCACCCAACACTGGGTTGGGTTCCTCGTAAAACCCAAATCTGGGTTCCGCGAAGAACCAAGATGAACAAGAGGAAAACCTAGCATCGGGTCCCATGAGGAACCAAGATGATGAAGAGGAAAATGATGGTGAAGATGATGAGAAGGATGGTGAAGAGAATGGTGAAGAAGATAAACGGTGAGATGATGATGCTGAGGATTAGGCTGAGGATGAGGAGAAAGTAGAAGATGATGAGAAGGATGGTGAAGAGAATGGTGAAGAAGATAAACGGTGAGATGATGATGCCGAGGATTAGGCTGAGGATGAGGAGAAAGTAGAAGATGATGAAATGAAAGTTAATTAACTTAATTACTTTTAAATTCATTTAACTTATAAATTCATTTTTATTTAAATAAAAAAATAACACATGAAAAAAAATGCCATCTCATCACTTTTACCATGATATATTTTCCACGTAATTATTATTTTTTTAAGAATATGATTTTGCTGGCAAGTTAACGTGACACCTGTCATTTAACTGACGGAAGGATCATTTTGGTACCAAAAATGAAAGTTTAAGGATAATTTTGGTACTTTTTAAAGATGAGGGACAATTTTGGTACCAAAGTGTAAAGTTGAGGGACCAAAATGGTACTTAAACCAAAATTTTCATCTGAAGCCGTCATAAATAGGAATTGTTACATAACCATCATGCACTCGCGACCAATGTTGCTCTCCCTTTTGTTTCTCAAAAGTTGTTGAGATTGTTGTGGGGTAATATTTGATGTACCACTTCCTATCACATTCAAAAGCCTTGCAATTCTACAAGGTCCACAACCAGCTTGTTTTTATTGATCCATTAGCTTAATTGTCTCCAATAATAAATGTTCTTTGTTATGGGACCGTAGCTTTTTTACTTTATTTGGGGAGTTAAACATCCACTACAAGAAAACTGCTCTTTAACGAGAGTACATACTATTGTTAATAACAATAATTTTGGTTGTTAAAATGGAAATAATGATCGGTTGCTCTGTTGTGGCCTGTCATTGTATGCTTGGTGGTTAAAAGCTTTCAACGACAAGGGCATTTTGCTTGTTATTAAAGCTCAACACCATCTTGTCATTAAAATTTCATGTTCACGTCCACAAAATTAATTTTTAGGGAAGGTAATCCCGTCGTTAAACCTCAGAGAATTTTTAAATTAAAAAAATAGTAACCACCCATCGGTTGTTTCTAATCACAAAGATTGCCCATTGTTGAAAGTCATTATTATATTAACAAAATAATTCATTGAGATTATTTAGCTGCTGCTGGTCACTAGTTTAATGATAATATCACAAATAGAAAAGTCAAATTACCAAAAAAAGAAATCAAATTACAATATGTTGATTAGGAAAAGATAATATAGTAACAATACAAAGCATTATTTCTCATACTAATATATATTAAAACTTTCAAAAATGTTTAATCTTATATCTAAGAATCTCTCCCACAGTAATAATGAGTGTGTCACGCCTCAGAACCCAAATCCGGGGACATGACAAACGCCATGCACTCGTAAATGAGTCCTACAAATGCACAAGGTTCGAAACTTACTGAGTTCTTAATTTTCAATTCCGATAATTCAAATCTAAAACTCAAGTTAAATCTAACTTTCCATTACCAAAAATTTTCTATTCCAGATATACAAAAGTTTATAAACGATCATGGCTATAACCAAAGAAATTCAGTACACAAAAATGGTTATTTGAGTCAACCATGTGAGGCTAGCGGCCTAACTCCAAAAGATCTAAATCCAAGACAATGCCTAGCCGTCTAGCTCGTCACTCCCTGGGCTCCCTATGTGTCAGGTATCACTACCTAAAATGGTGGACAAGGAAAAACGAGGTGAGATAAAATATCTCAGTAAGTAAAATATGAATAGCCCTTGATAAAAATTTTAAGCATGCCAGATAAACAGTTTACATAACAAACTTTCAATGATAAACCATTCATGCATAATAAAACTCATCAGTAGTCTCATCTATAGGTCATGGCCAGCGTTTATAAACCTCCCACTAGTGGGCACAGTAGTAGTACCAGTGTTTAACAACTCCCACTGGCAGGCATCAGTAATAACCAATGTTTAACCCCATTGGCAGGGTTACAGAAGTACCAGTGTTTAACAACTCCCACTGGCAGGCGTCAGTAATAACCAATGTATTATCCCATTGGCAGGATTACAGAATGGACCGGTCATATCAGTAAACATGTCAACATGTGCTAGCGTTTATAAACCTCCCACTAGCGGGCACAGTAAACATGACCATATTAGAGACAAAACCATGCAAGATTTACAGAAAACTCAGAAGTCACAATCAATCTCACATTTCATAAATAACCAGAAAATTCCACGTGGGCATGGATTTGCATGGATTTAACAGAAAATCATAATTTCCAAAAAAATTCTCAAATCATCAAAGCAGTTCAGTCAATTCCAAATAAGCATGCTCTACTCCAAAAACAATGAAATTCTCTTTTCCATTCCAATCATGCTCAATTCCCGAAAAACAATGAAATTCTCATTTTCATTTCAATCATACTCAATTCCCGAAAACAAAGAAATTCTCATAGAAATCATCACAATTTTCATTTCAGTTTAACCACACTCAAATGCTGATAAAATCAATTTAAAATCAATTTAAACCTTGCCACCATCTCAAAAACAATTTAAAACATGCTTTGAAAACAAAGGGCATTATCATAATTTAGTTACCTCAAATCCGTAATACGGGAACTCAAGCCAAGTGCTTGGGTGACAGAACACTCAAGAACCTAATCAAAATACCCCAGAATTAATAACCATATAAAAACTACCCATTTAATCCTTTCTAATGTTATCGACAATTAACCCCGTAAGGAAATTTTATTTCTTTTCTTATTTATTTATTTATTCATTTTTTTCTATCCGAAATCAAGCACAAAATCAATTGTGCACTTATATATTTGCATAATTCACATCAAATTCTCCCATTTACTCACGGCAACACATGGAGAGCATGGTTTGGCAAACCACAACTCACACACGGGATTTTCCCTCCAAAACATCACAACATCCTAATTAACAAAATTCCTACATGAATTAAGCAAGAAAAATCATCTCACTTGCTGTCGGAATTCTCCCCTTTTTCAGCAGAAAATCCGAACAGCACAAGGGCAATTCAAGGCAGGAAATTCGAAGATTCAAGGCAACAATCAATTGACAAAATCCAAGCTTATGGAAGCTATCATCTTACCGGAATTTCTAGCAAGCAAAACCAGATCCGGCGGGTATGGCAGGGGCAGAAATTCGCAGAGAACTAACACGAAATTGACAGAAATAAAAGCAATTCGAGTGAACCCAAGCCAATTTAGAGCTGAAGAGAGGAACTCATGGCTGTTGCTTACCAGAAAAAGCCCAGAAATTCGCACGCAGCAGCAGGGAACTCACGGCAGAGGGAAGAGAGCAGATCTGGAAAAATTCTGGGTTGAATAGATGTCCTAGAACAAGAAAAGGAGGAGAATTCTCCAAGTTTTACAAGTGTTCCCGGCCGGAAAAAGGGGTGGCGGTAGCTGGGGCTTGTCGGGGTTGCAGAGGGTCGGGGGAAGAGGAAGAGCAGGACGCGCGTGGAAAGGAGAAAGGAAGAAAAGAAAGAGAAAAAGGGTCAGCCGATCCTTATCCAAATTATTTTCTTTTAAGCCCCTTGACTTCGAAAAGTTTTACTATTAAGTTCATTAATAAAAATCTCTCACAACTAAGTCCCTAAAAATTTGGGGATATTACAGAGTGTGATAAAAATTTTATCTTTGAACAAAAAGTACCAAAAGAGAGCCATAGTCATTAATCCAAATGCAAATTGATGTCCTTAAAATTTCTTCCACCTGGAAATGAAAAATGCAAAATTGCTATTAATACTTGAAAAAACTCAAACAATGCAAAACTTGGTAAATTATGATTATTCACCTCGCTTGGCTGATACTCTAATGTAATAAAATTTAGTTTTCTGGCCTCCAGATAAACCTCCTGCAAAAGTTAACATAAATCATGGAACAAAGTACTTAGACAATCTTCAAAATAAAAAATTAAACTAACAAAATGCAAGGCCAAACAACACATAGAGTTAAGGAAACAAAACAAACCACACATAAATGTCAAATGGAAAATTTTCAATAACTATTAGCATAAACTCACGAAGCAAATAGAATTAAGGACATTTGGAAACAAAAGATTATGAAATATAAAAATAACACTACTTAGCTCTAAGAACTAGAATAAATTTGCCTTGTAGCTAGTTTTTTCACTCCAAACTTGTGTTAAATCAACTCTTCTTCTTGTTAAGTCAATTTGATTATTAAGGCCTTTACCTAGTTATTTGAAAAATTATGATGCATGATAGCAAATATAAGAAATTATGGATCGTTCACAAGAGACTACCTTCAGTTAAAATATGCTTGCATGAGCAAGTATAGACACAAATAGCACATTCATATTCCACTAGGCAACAAATTTTGGTTCACTCTAATGGTAAAAAAAAAAAAAATTAATAATATGAAATGATATGTATGATTCATAACTAAAATAACAGAGGAAAATATATGTTCAACAAGCAAAACAACTAACCTTCACTACCAAGAAGCTGATCTATGACGTGGCACCACATCTCTAAATTATGAAATGTCCAAAGATTAATTGTGTGCTTTTTACTACTAGAATAGAATTTATGCCAAAGTAAAGACAGCACATAATACAAGTCAAAGGCATAAATTAAAGACCAATTTTCATATAGTGCACAATATTCCTACTTTTCTTTTGTTTCTAGTGACTAGCAATCTCCACCTCACTTTGTAGGCTATGGGGCATTTGTTGAAATTGATTGAAAATTGATAATTTCTAATGATAATAAAAAATTGAGCTAAATTACTATAAAAAAAATATATTTGCATATAATATACCCAGAAACAAAGAAAAAAAAAATACCAGTTACCACCTGCAGGTCAAGAAAGAAGGAAATTAAACATCATTTGATTCCAAGAGTCCTAAATCTCAAAGCCAGCATTTTCAATAGCATTGTCAGAAGTACTTGGCTTTCCCTTAGTTTTCATACTTACTTCATACACAAGTGCTACAAAAAGGAAAGCAAATAGTGCTTGTATCACTCATTAACTTGATTTAAATGATTAGCTGATGGTATACATATAGTTCAAGCTTGTTTTTAAAGTGAGAAAATCAGAAAGCAAGCAATCCAGACTACTAATTTTGCTATAACAAAATCTAGCAAAAAAAATTCAAACAAATAAATGGCATGCAATCATTTTTTGATATGGTATATCAAAATTGATAGATTCTGCCTTAACAAAATCAAGATATGAGCAATTTTTTCTTGAAATTGAAGAAAAAGTCAAAATTACCTCAAAATGAAACCAATAAATGTGAATCACGTGAGGAAACCGAGGCTACAAAAAGGGAAATTTCAAATAAAGGGAAATCAACTTGCAGTGCTTGAGCCGCATGAGAAAAAAGAGGCTTTGGTGAGGGAGGTGATCATAGCAATTCCAGGTTACTAGCGACATCAGGCGTTCATGGCAGTGGGTACATACACAATTGAGTGTTGGAGGACAAAGAAGGAAGAGGAAAAAGGAATTGTTAATAGGGTACTAGTGAGAATAGGCGTTGATGAAGTTGGTTATGTGGCTGGATCAGGTGTTGGTGCGTAGAGAAGGGGAAGATGCGATAGAGATGAAGGAAAAAGGGAGGAAGAGGAAAATAGGAATCGTTGGAACTTTTAACCCTAGATCCAAAATGGTGAAGATGAAAAAGAAGCCAAGATCTATAGCTTCTTTGCAAAAGGGTTTTAAGAGAAGAATTCTAGGTTGTTGAAAAGATGAGAGGAAGAGTACACTTTCAAATACAGATCTGGATGAGAGACTAGAAAGAAGATGAGAATAATTTGGTTCTCTAAAATGACCCTAGCATGGGTACATAACCAAAGAAGAAAAAGGGCATAACCAAAGAAGAAAAAGGGGCAAAAAAAGGACATTGCTTATTTCATTTTATTTTCCCTTTTCAAGCGCCAAAAAGTTTCACCAAAAATTTCCAATCAATGACGGTATTTAAAAATCAATGGCTAAAATTAAGGAGATGAACACAAACAACAATGGTATATTGATGTGGTTATTAAAATTAATTTTTGTAAACCATACAGCAATGGGATAAAAGTCCCATCATTATTCGTTGGTTTTTTTACCATTATTAACAACGGGATTCCTAATATTTGGTCGCTGAAAGTAAAGTTTGTTGTAGTGATCTCATGGTTATGTTCATCAATAAATTGCCTTATGATCCAAACTCCATCTTGCAAGAGAATAGACATTCGAGCACAATAATTTACTCGATCTGGATGATCACATGTTCCCATTTTTTTAGCCTTATAATTTCTCTTTTTTCCTTCTTGTAGCAAACAAAATATTTTCAATTAATAGGTCCATCTAGGGATCACCTCTTTGCTGACATTGTGCGAATACTAAATCCCATTCTTTTGGCATATTCATTATAAAATTCGCGAGCTTCATCAGCTGAAGGAAATTGCATACCTTTACAAGGCATCCCACCAATAATGTCATCTTCACCCAACATTTTGTGTCTTTCAATTTCCATAGCAACACTAGTATAAATCTCTTCTAATTCCTCAAGATCATCCACTTGTATAGTTAAGAAGTTATCATTATTGTCATTTATTGCTCGTAAAACTGAATAAGTTGTTCCCATCAATTTCATCTTGAGATATTTGTTGTGAAATTGGAGAAGAATTCATCTTAATTCCTGTAATCAAAGATAATCTAAGAGTAAGATTTTTTTTGACTTTTTTAGGTAGAGAGAGCTTAGTAAGAAAACAAGCACTTACCATCCTTTGAAGAAGCAAGGGTTATCGTCGACAAAGATGATGAATTGCAGTGGCAAAATGGGGTGAAAATAGTGGGTGCTGGAGATTAAATCGGTGGTGTGGGATTGCATTTGAAAAATTGAAGGAATCAGAGGAGTTGATGGAGAGGGGAGGCAATGGAGATGAAGATGAAGATGATTACATAAGGGGCAAAAAGAAGGAGGGGCTAAGGATTAAGAGAACAATGTAGTTTTGGTTGGGACTCCAATTTTTCTTTTAGAGATAAGACTGATGCACACTTTACTAATATATATATATATATATATATATAAAGAGAGAGGAAGATAAATCAGTGAAAAAATAATATATAACGATAAAAAATATATATGTAATAATTGATTAAGAAATAAAAATAGAATAGAGAGGACAAGGAATAACAAATAATAAAAAATAAATTACTAATAGAGTGAGATTAACAAATATACAGACATATAAATGCACACCCACACACACAAACACATGAAAATAATGAAAGTATAACATAATGTGAAAAAATATTAGTTTACAAAAGAAAAATGAGGAGAGCATGCAATAAGTTAAGAATGAATTAAAATGTATAACAATATTATATGCATATGATCATGAAGTAAACCATAAAATTGAAGATGTTTCGTAAAAAGATGTATAATAACAAATTCCAAAAATTTGTCTTTATTTTTTAGGTTAAAACCCTTATTTTAGTCCTTGAACTATTGTACAAACCCTCGATCTGGTCCCTAAACTTAAAAAATCTCTGATTTGGTCCCTATTGTTTACCAATTTTACCCCAACTTGGTCTTTCTGTTAAAAATTCATCGTTAATTCATAGAGACTTAATGACATGTCAAAAATTTGACACATGTCAGATAAAAATGATGAAATGGCAACATTATAGATTATATTCTTACCATGGAGCCCATTAAAATTACAATTTTGCCCTCATCTTTTCCCTCTAGCATCCTTTTTCTCAAATCTTCTTCATTCATCCTTTTTTTTTTTCTCTCTTTGCCTCCTCCGAGTCAACTTTCACCACCATTTTTCTGAATTAAACAATTAATTCAATGAAATGAAATTTCATTCTTCATCAATCAATCCTTCTTCATCATCAAACAACAAAACCCACAAAAAAAAAAAACAAAAAATTTTTCATACCCAGCATCTGGGTTCAAAAGAAAGAACCCAGTGTGGGTTCAAAAGAAAGAACCCAGCGTGGGTTCCATCACCCAATAGCCATTGGGTTCCAAGGGAAAAGGGGAAAGGGAAGGAAAAAGAAAAAAAGAAAGAATTTTTTAAGTTTTATTTTTC